AAGCCAGAAACTCACATTATTACCTAATTGAGAGTGGGATGATTGGTTTGGTAGTGAAGAAATGTGTCAATATAAATTTACACAGAGCAAATATTCAGAGGCATTTAGAGTGTGTCCCCACTCAATACACATATACACATGCATATAAACAACCATAAGCATTTAAAAGTAATATCCCTAATTATTCTTCAGTCCTTGTCTTCAGATAATATTTACAATGAAAACCGCTACATTTCCTGTACTTTCTATATGAGCCTCTGCTAAAAACACTGTCTAGTTCTTGTAGTGGGTGGCCATTCCTGCTTTGATCTGGAAGTTTCAACCCCCATGGGGCTTTGGTAATTGTCATGCCTACAAGGCAGGGCCAAGAGAGGACCCGAGATCTGGATGGGCCAGCTCTCTTGGTTCCTGGACCCTGGACGCTGGAGGTAGACTGAGCAGAGTTCTCCAGAGAACACCACCTGACTGCGCCACACCCTTCCCAGACCCTGTAACCTATCCCTTCATTTGTAAGTTACCCCACAAAATAAGCCTCCCTTTTAACTACGTGGAGTTGCCTTAATATTTTAACCAATAAGTTCTCTGATTCTTCACACTTTGGAGGAACATTCTGTCCCCTTTGGCTTTTTCTTAAATAGTCAGATTCTATGTAAGTACTTTCTAATATTTTTCTGCACAATCAATGAGGTAGATTTGACCATTATTTCTTGTATTATCTATTAAAACATGACACAAACCATTCTTACATAGAGTATTAAGGTTAGGTTTAGAGTCTGTTTGCATGATCCTAGGCTGCACTGCTGTTTTAGGATTCTGAAATATATATCATTTATTTATACAATTTGCATTTCAAAATCCCCCTAGCACATGGTCATAGTTTAATAGAAATGGGTTGAGTGAACACATAAAGAGGCTCATGCTAGCACTATCACATTAGTTCACCGATACCAAGAAAACCATGTGTGAGAAGAGGGGCCATAGGGCACACTCAGACCTGGACACCTGACTGGGAGGATGGAAATGTCTTGACTTTCAGACCTCAGCATTGATTTCCAGTTACACAGAGCTTATAGACTCTCAGCAACACCTCAGGGAAGAAGGGGAGTTCAGATTGTCCAAGGAAAGAGGCAAGGCTGCAGCCTGTGCACCAGCATCAGTAGACACACAGCCTTCTGCCATCATCAGGGAAGCTGGATCTCATCAGGTACCTGCTGTTTCTCTAGGACCAGAAGCTTGGGTACACATCCCTATCTTCTCTTAATGATCGAACTGGAATAGTAAAAGAAGGGTGTGCTCTGAGTCAAGGAAGCAGAGGATAACATAAGAGCTTAGTCTGCAGAGCCATGGAGAGGAAGTGGCCATCCACAGCCCTTGTAGCTACTCTGGGACCTCTAATCAAGACTGAACTCTGCCCAGAGAAGCCTCAGAACAGGGTTCATGAAGATCACCCATTCTCTCTAGAGACCCATGGAAACAGGAGTACACTGCAAAGAAAAAGCCTCTTCCTGTGTGGAGAATCATGGTTCAGACGGATTTGAAGGAGAAATCACCCCATAGCCTCTTCCCCACTCTCACCTGGAGCACTGGTAGCTGTAATATGCTGAGGCTGGGGCATCATCTGGCCTGTAAGTCCTATCCTGATACAAGGAGTGCTGATGTATAACATAATCCAATCCCAAATCTACTGACAGAATGACCAACCTTGGCCTGGAAGATTTTCCTTCAGGAAGTCTTCAAACCTGAGGTTCTAAGCACTGTTGTAATAAGGGTACTCTCTGGAGTAATCCCAGTAGTTCACTTAAAAAACATTCCATAATAAGAGAACCAATTGACATTTAATATTATAATTGCTAAGTGATACATCTCAGTCTCTTCTGTGACCAGGTACTACACCAGTGCGTATCAAGCCACTCTAAAGTCTCCAAGACTGCATTGATAAAGTTGAGAGTATTTTGAACCTTGATAGTGTAAAATATAGCCGATAGAAGTACATTCATCCCTCAATATTCATCTCAATGAGGAGCAATTCTCTGGGATCTTTACCGATAACAAAATCCGTAAATATTTGAGTATCTCTCATAATTTACTCGTATTTACCTATAGTCCATGTGCACATTCTCTTATAGTTTTAAATCTTTCAGTGACTGTTTATAATATCTAATGTATCTTCACTTGTTCAGGAAAGCCATAATTTAAAAACTAAGGTCAGTTAGGCAGTGCAACTGAGGGTGTAGAACATGTGGCCAGGAGGAACAGGCTGTGAACCCTTGACTTCTACACAAGTCTCCCAAACTGCTAACTGCCAGAGGATTTCAGCCTCGGTCTGCCTTTGTGCTCAAGACACTCGGGTTGCTTTCTGCTCATATGGGAAAGTCTTACTAGAGGCACGTAGTACACAACCAGATGTCCTGACCATTTGAATGGAGGCTTCACTGTCACTTCTGAAACAGACTGGAGTAGGAGCCAAGTCATCATGCAACACACACTCAAATAAACAAATCCAACAGAGAACTACCTGTTGCCTATCCAACTAGCCTGTTAGTCTCCTGCATCAGGCATGGATTCTACAGGCTGAAATTGGGCAGGCTGTGTTGATTTTACCTTACACACAGCCTACGTGCTTATCCACCTCACCACCTCCTCTTCTCTCCATTACTGCACTCCCTTCCTAGATCACAACCTCTGAGCTACAGCTTGGTCTCACTGATTGCTTTTTTTTTTTTAAATTCCCAATTGTGTCCTCTTATCACTTCTCTATACAACACTGAAAATGAGTTTTCAACATGTAAGGATGCCTTTAATACTCAAGAATAAAACTCACCTCCTATGCTTATACATATGGTTTGAAATTCAGCAGTGGTTCCCATTTGATTGTCTCTGTAAGTTGTCATTTTGCAAGCCACTTTTATTGCTTTACAACTACTAGTTTGATTTAATTGTTTTCTTTTTCCTCTTGTTACTGTGTCTTTAATCAGAGCAATGATTTCTGAGACATAATCACCAACAACACTGTGTAAGTTTTGCTTGATAATTAGACTATACTATATCTGAGACTAGCTGCAAACACTATAACTTATGCCATTTCCAGTGTCAGACCAGTCTATTTTTAAAGTTTTGCATCTGTGGACTCATACTTTTATAAAAGACACATATATATTTCTCAAAAAGCAAAATGAAAGGGGAAAAAGGGGAAAAGTATATATTTCTTTTAAAAACCATTACATTTACCAGATAAAATAGTTCTGATAGGTTGATGTAGAAATTCCTATATAGTTTTAATTATCAGAATTGAACAAGACTATCTTAGAGTGACTCCAGGCTACAGACCATGAAGAGAAGAGGGTGATTTACAGCTCTACTCCTAGAACACAAGTCAGCACATGAGGTCACTTTCAAGGTAATGATAAACATCTGTTAGCTTTGATTCTCTCATTTTGTTTTCCTGTCTCTGTTGATCCAGCACCCAGCAATCTTCTTGGTCATAGAGGAGAAAATGAATGGTGCATAGTTGTGCATAATTGTAATCCCAGCACTCAGGAATTGGAGGTAGGCAGACCATAAATTTGAAGACAGAATATGTTATATAGTGAGACCATGTCTCAATGAAATCTAATAAGCCAGGATCAAGCAATCATTAAAATAGAAAACCTCACTGTTGGAAATGACAATGTAGATAATTGCTTTTTAAAAAAATTTTTTTTCATAAAATATTTCCTGTTCATTCTTTTCACCTCCCCCAACTTCTCCTAGTCTTCTACACCCCATCTACTCACCCATCTCCACATACATTCTTTCTCTCTCTTTAAAAACAAAACCAGGCCCCCCCCCCCGAAAAAAAAAAAAAACACCAAATGAACCAACAAAACCAAACCAACACATTATCTCCTGTGCCTGTATGTGGATGTACCTTCAAATGTCCCTTGCTGATCATAGTCTGATAATGAGGCAGCTTTGTTACCTGGATGCAGTTGGTGCTCTGGGCTTCCACAGAGAGGCAGGGCAGCCTGCTCACACTGGGCCCATGCCTGCCGGTGGGTGTGTGGACACCAAAATGTGTCTCACAAGAACACGTGGGTAATCTTCTCTTATGGTCCCAGTTTAACTTCAAAATGTCTCCCCGGTGGAGGGTGACATGATTGTTGTCATAACAACCATCTCTTGGAAGACTTTCCTCAGTACCAGAAGTGAATTAAATTCTTACC